TTACATAATGCATCCTCCACAGCACTAGGTGTCAGTATATATATATATATATATATAAATTTAAAAATATCTTGTTTTAAAGGCATTTAGTTGTCATTAAAGGAAAACGATTAAAAATACTGTGCATTTGGTGTCTTGTTGCATTTTGACAGTTAAACTGACATTTAAGACTATTAATATAGTTGCTAACAATCTCATTACGTCTTTTTAATGGTGGCAGTGGCGATCGTGCCACACACATAATGACCTGCGTGCAGGAGCACGTCAGTGAAACCCAAAAATTGATTACAAATTCACAGTGACTTTCCAATCCAGCCCTCTTTAATTGCATCTTCTCCAGTACAATCGTGATCCTGGGCAACAGCCAACTCCTCTCTCGCCCCTCCCTTGTCATCCATCAGACCTGACTCTCCTTTGCCCCCCAGCGCACACTGTTGTTCCAGAGACGGCACCATGTGCTTTCTCTCTCATCTCATTCTCGGGCCCTTGAAGTCTGTAAATTGGCCCTCACACCGACGGCGTCTCCGGGCGATGTAGACTGTCGTTGCCAGCTGTCGCTGACAGAAACTGCCATCACCTCCAGTTCTTGAATATCTCACCTCATTGTCCAGAGACTCAAGGAGCAGACAGGGCACTCAATAAATGAGATTTCTCAATGGCCACGGCTCGCAGAGACCATAAACTGGTGGAAAACAGTGTCTGGATCTACAACTTTCGGATGACTACAGCTTGTATCTCTATCTGGATGAGTTATCACCGCTAATTCAAAAGTGAAAGTAAAATGCGCACGGCGCTTTTAAGCTATTTAAAAGCGAAGGAAAGCGAGGAAAAGAGGGAAAATTCAAACTAACTAAAAACGAACAATTGCTTTACTCCGAATTGCCGCTATTTTAAAGTGAAAGTAAAATGGGCACACCGCTTTTACAAGCTATTTAAAAGCGAAGGAAAGCGAGGAAAAGAGGGAATCCCCCGCCCCCGCCCCCGCGGTGATACCGGTATTACCGGTGTTGTCACACGCCGATTAACCGGTGGGAAAATTTCCTCACCGACACAACCCTAGCGTGCACTGCAGTTTTGTCTCTAAATGCTTGATCTCTTTAAAGCAGGATGAATTCTGATTGGCTGGCAATGTTTTTAGTGTAGTTGGAAACAAACATTCTGAAAATGATTCCAACAATATTGTTCCGTATGTGTACCGTTATCGATACAGTTGTGGTGTGGACTCTGTTATTTTTTACATTTTTACAACAATTTTAAAAACGATATCTTTATCATTATAGTTATCACACTTTGTGTGAACAGGCCTTAATTGTCTTACAGAATGTCACTTTAAAGTAAAAATCTTGTTTTAAAGATGTTTTTGTTTTATAGAAAAACAAGACAAACGTTTGGTTCATGGTTGCATTTGGGATCGAATATACAACCATATTTAGTGTTAAAAAATAGGACTGTCAACTGTATTCTGCTGCTGTGTGAATGTCAATGTAACATGCAAAAAATGTTCTCCATTTTTTAAGAGCATTCATTTGGTAATTTGACTGCTTTTATCTGAAATGCGAAAAGACGGTTACGTTGCTACTTGTATTTCAACTTATTCTAGCCTAGTGTTAATTTTGTCAGCTATTTTCATTTTAGTCTTAGTTTAGTCCCATGTTAAAATGCCCTTGTTAGTTTTTATCATATTTAGTCAACCTTATCCTATTTAGTTTTAGTCAAGTTTTAGTCGACTAAAAGTCTCAATATTTTAGTCTATTTTTAGTTCAAGAAAACCTGAAGTATTTTAGTCTAGTTTTAGTCAATTAAAACTAGACATTTTAGCAATAAGATTATTATTAAGTAACCACACAGTATTAATTTTGGCAGACATTTTTAATTTAGTCTTAGTCTTACTCAAATGTACATTTTAGTTTAGACAACCTTGTCCTGTTTTTGTTTAGTCAAGTTTAAGTCGATGAAACGTATGAGCATTCTAGTCAAGTTTTATTCAATTAAATCTTAGTCACATTTTCGTCATTCTGTATAATGGTTAAACTGATAAAAAAATATTTTTTGATTAATGATTGTTGTCATTTGAGAAATTTACTTTTGGCATTTCAGATATTGCACTTTCTCCCGTAAGCACAAATCAATAGAATGTGGACAGATATATGGTGTATTTTACCTAATCTAGTGCACTGATTTATTATAGGCTTTTTATTATATAATTTAATACCAAAAACGTATGCAATCTCTCTGTCTACATTATGAAAACAGCTAAAACAAACGAAAAATATTATAACAGTGAAATTCCTAGTAATTCCAAATGGCAATAGCCTATTTCTCTATTAAAACAACAGCGGTTGAGTGTTCAGCGATCACAATCGCAAATAATACAGTCGAGATCTCATGACAAGAACACAGACCGGCTGAGTGACACACTCATTTAGATCGATAAACTCCAGCTTGTTTGTCGGTGTTTTCAGATCATCTTCCGCAATGAGGAGCGAGCGCGTGTGGTTGCCAGATTGCTTAAAATAAGCAAAACACTGGGCAAACAATGTAGGCTATCAATGTAACAGCAAAGCTCTGATTCGGGGATTAGAACTCTTGATATCTGACAACCGCACTCATGAGAGCTCACGTAGTAGAGGCGTGTAGAGCAGTCTGCAATAACATTTTGTCTCCTTTTTTTTATGAAAATAAAAAGAGGTTTTTGGTAAAGTTTTTATCTTTTTGAATACATTTTAGTCTCATCTTATTTCGCCAACGAAATTGCATGTTGATATAGTCATAGTTATCGTTTATTGACCTTATTATCGTCTTCGTCTCGTCTTAGTCATTGGAAAAAAGCTCGTCAACGAACATTTTTCTTCATAGTCTTCGTTAATGAAATGAACACTATTCTAGCCAAACACTGGCCACTCAGCAAAGAAAGGTTGAGAGGGGCAAAAAAAAATATCATATTTTATCATGTTTTTAAATGCTGTTTAGTTGGTGAAAATATACAAAAAAAGTTGGTACGAGGGTTGTCACGAAACAAAACTTGCCCAACTGTTACTCAAAACTTTGCCAATTACAATTTTTTTCGGTGGTTTTCCCCTCCATCGAAATCACAAAATGACTTTAGCCTAGTCTTGTTTTTTAGTCTGAGGGTTAGTGTTTTTCAGTCAGTTCTTGCCATCTTTGTGCAATGTGCATCAGACGGTTAGCGAACAGACTGTGGGCGATCTGTGGGCGAGCCGGCAGTCTGTCTGAGGCTGGTGCTATGCTACTACCAACTTGATATAAGGTGTAGGCGGCAGTCACATAGATTCTAACTGATGTATGTTGGTCCATTGTGGTCTAAATAGCTGAACACCTCAAGTACCATCTAGTGGACCTCATTTTGACCAGGTAGACTATTTTGGTTAAGCTTATTAGAGCTGCTAGACCACCTTGCTCTTTGGTGTTTTATGTAGTGAATTATTAGCTGCCGAGAGCATCAAACAAGTTAAATTCAATTTTGCGCAATAAAGAGTTTTGGTACAGCATTGGGTCATCACTGTAAAATCTATCCTGAAGCAAAACCAGTTGCTGTACGCGGTCCTCTGTTGTGGCCGTTGTGGATGTCATTAATCAATTAACTGAGTTGTCACCATTTAAATTGGTTCAAATATCAATAAATATCTCTGGACAAGCATCATATTCCACAGATAAATGTGAAGGGACAGATTATGCAATACAGAACAATTCTGGGTAACAATTTCTTTGTCATGCTTTTTATTTCGTTAGCACGTAGTCAATAGTATTGATTCCTTCATTACTTACCCTAGATACTCTAGAGTGTTTACCCCTTGTGCTTTTATTGACTTCACCACAGGATACAAGACAAAATACAGGCATACAAAATTTCAAAATAATTTTATGACTTAGAAATAGTACTTCAGTAATTATGCATATCATTGCTTAAAAATTTAATGTTCTACTTAATCCCGGATTATTGTGTCCAAAGCTACACCTAAAATATTAAAGATAAAAGAGGAAAACAACCTTGCATGTGTGACCTCAAATATATGGCTGTTAGGAATGTCGGCCAAATTTACTACGCCACCCCCACTTTCTAGGGTAAGGGACCCTAACAATGATATCTTTAACACAGGTAGTTCAAATAAATGAACTAGAAGCCAGAGTACAAAAGGTTAATACTTTATTAGAATGACAGATATAATCCTTTTCCATAGATAATATTAAAATAATAACCATTCATTGAAGCCCGCGAGACTTTAAACGTCACCTGTCCTATCGCGTCACCTACCCCTTAAAGGCATAGCAAGCTCATTCCGGTTACACATGCATGCTTCTGGTATCCTGTTATGAATATTCCCAAATTTTTGTTGACAACCTTGATGCACGTGTACTCTGTCTTGTAGCTGACTGGGAATTGGGAACCAGCCAGCCTGAACTAGCCATGATGAGCTGAGGGAAGCTTATGTAATTGAGAGCTCTGTTACAGAGGAGAATGTGCTTTGTATTCAGAAACGCAGTGCTAATAAGCTGGAGTCAATGAGCCTGACAAGGTTCTTCAGGTTTAGCCAAAAAAAAAACCTAGGGAAACAGTGGTAACTTTCATACTTTTTCAATCACTGCAGCAAGTGTCTTAATATAGACTGGCAGGTTTATAATTCCCTGCTGAAAAATCCAGCTAAAGCTGGTTGCTTCATTTTTGAACACCGTATCTGGTTACTAGCTGGTTTAAGCTGGTTTTTAACTGGTCCAAGCTGGTCTTTAGGCAGACAACCAGTTACCAAGAACCAGCTTGACCACCTTAAACAAGCACTGTATGACCAGCTAGTAGTTGGTTTGTTGTCGCTAATTGTGCTAAAGATCAACTTAGACCAGTTACCATGTATAAAAAGACTGTACAGTTACCAGCTTTTTCGGCTAGGTTTTCAGTAAAGATGGCACATATCATCAACTCCCAGGGAAAAAAAAGTGTCATAGCATGAGGTGGTTTTATATAAAATTTAGCTGTTAACTTTTACCTGTGCACTTTCTGCTAGTGTCTTCTTTCTTGGAGGAACTCATGAGCTTGCAGTTGAAGTTCTCCTCCCAGAACTCAGCGAACCAGACGTTTCTTCTGTTGTTCTCCAGCGTGCGTGAAATAAAGTAGGTGTCGAAATCTGAAAAAGAAAACGTACCACCATTAGCGATAGCATCAGATAAATCGTAACATTACCTGAAAAGCAATGTTCCTTTGTCTTGATTATTGATACACTACCAAAAAACAAACTACATCCACCAAAAAACACAATATGTACTGATAACGTACAAACATTGCCAAGTTTGTTGGTGTTTCCAACATATTTGCATGGCAATTAATAACTATTTTATGTTTTGATGAATTGGTGGCTAATTTCTATGAATGTGTACAATCTCATCTGTGCATTTTTACACAAGAAAACACAAAATAAGATAGGTTAAAGAATGTTGGTAACCAAATATTCGCCGGTAGTCATTGACTTATGAAAAAAGTACTGTGAAGGTCAGTGACTGACTACCAGGAACTGCTCAATTACCAACATTTACCAATTACCAACATTTATGTTTTTTGTGCTAATGTTTTGAGAACATAATTACAAATCAGATAACTTTGAACAAACATTCTACTAACATCACTGAAAGAACATTTGTTATTTTTTCATCACTGAAAATAACATTTGTTCGTAACTTTGAGAGAACCTTGGCAGAATGTTAGAAAACGTTCTGAGAATGTTGCTTGTTAGCTGGATTCACATTTTTTCTTTCTTTCTTTCTAGTGTGATGCTAGTATGCTGGTATAACTAGAAACTAGTTTAACCAGTTTCTCTGAGCAATTAAATCTCAGGTATAGCATATGAACATTTTTTAGAGCCGTTACTATTGTTGCCTGATCAGCCTTGGTGCAAACAGGCTGCAACACATTTGTGTGGCAAAAGTTCTGCATCCCTTACAAAATCATTAGCATCCTTACTTGACATTCTTCGCATGAGGCAGCTTAGCATTTAATCAGACAGTTCACCATCAGCAGACAAACAATAACATTTATCAATCCGGATCCTGAAGAGTCTTTTGAGTCTGTCCTTGTTGTCTGCCATCAAGGCTAATGACATGCCTCATCTAAATAGGTTTGTGGCGTAATGAGGCTTCCATCCACAGTGTAGCTACAAGGACAAAGGTCAGCAGAACATTTAATTTTGCCACAGGCATCCGCTAACCTTACATAGTCATAGCTCATTTAAACTTTGTTTGCTTCCACTCGGCAGACTGCAAAGGAAGTGAGTCCGGGTCTGTCTTGCCCACTAGAAAATAAGTGTTAAGAAAGAGATAAGGTGTTATCATTAAGCTGCTACAGCAGAGCTGCCCTAAGCCAGTCAACAAATGCAGCTGAAGTCTTTAATGCACTCCTGGGCATTGCATACTCTCGAGTCGGAGCAAGCATCCGGCCTATCTGCAGCTCCCAAGCTGCATGCCCCGAGTTGGCATCTTGAGGGCTGGTGTCTGGAGGTGAAGTCAGTCACTTCTCCTGTGATCGGTTGAATCAAGATTTGCCAGGTATACTCAAAGTGCACGTAGAACAAGCAAGTCACTTACGCACCACACTTTTTTGAAGCACCTATAGACTTCAGTCAGGGTAGCGCCATATTTAATTTCTGACAGGAATGAAAACGAAGCTGTGAAGGATAGAAGTACAGGGCGTTCAGTGGATTGCACTGGATTGTTTAACAACATATCGATTGTTTAGCTGATGAAATATCTTTCCAAAAATAGCATTCAGTAGACAAGAACTCCACAAAGCAATTTTGAAAGTTTTGAGTTGTAAAACTAGCATGATTTTTGTACCTTTATTTAGCGCATGCCACTGTAAAAACTGTTAGGGGTCTATCCGTCACAGCCTCGTTTTCATCCATGTTAAATTCAATATGGTGTCTAACCTGATTAAAAGTCTATTGAGACTTTTTTTTTGAGTGAACGTGGAGGCGGTAAATAAAATAATGGGAGGAAAGGGTGAAAATAAGCATTTGCAAGCCAGATTCAGTCTCAAATTTCCCACCTGTGCACTATGAGAATGTGCATTTTTGCAGAAATTCTTGCGTAGGCAACTGATGTAAAACTGGTTTTACGAACTAGTTGCGAACTAGATGTAAACTGAATGCAATTATTCAATTGAATTACAACAAAAACAGTACTACAAATGATTCACATAGAGATTTGTTTTGTTCGTTGAGCACTGAATGTGCAAAGAGAGAAGGGGAATGTAACCATGAACTTGTTGCGAGCTAGATTCCAACCCACTTTTCCCAATTGAGCACCCAGTACATGCAGCAACTGCTAGGCTGTGGTTCTCAGTATAAATTCTTGTGCAAATAACTGAAATAAAAATGATTTTATGAATGATTAGTGAGCCAATTTAAAGCAATGCTTTGCTATTGAATGCAATTAAATAAAACTCTACAAATAAATTATACAGTAATTTGTTCAGCTCATCAAGGACCGAATATGCAAAGAGAGAATGGTAATGCACTGTAACCGTAAACCAGTTGCGAGCCAGATTCAAACCCACTATTCCCATATGAGCATCACAAGTGTGCAGCAACTGCTAGGCTGTGGCTCTTCTCTCTTCGCACATAGTGAGCCTTTCTCATGGAACCTGAGCAAAACAAATGCCTGGGTGTATATGTGGCATAAATTCTTGTCCAAACAAGTCTTTATGAATGATTTGTGTGCCAATTTAATGCAATAATAACATTTAATGCTAATGAATGCAATAAAGTTCACACACACAAAAAAAATAATAATAATAATTACACAAATTAATTCTTTTGAAAGAGGAACAGAAGAATGAGAAGAGAGAGAGAGGGAATATAACCGTGAACTGTTGCAAGCCAGATTCAAACCCACATGAGTACCACAAGTAAGCACTACCGCTAAGCTACAGCTCCCACAACATGATGAACAAATGCGAAAATTTTTCTGACAACGGATGCAAGAATAGTTACCACATGAGAAAAACAATGGGAGGAATTAATTTCTGTGTTCGTAAATAGTTCGTTTTTTTTACCTTGTTAACCATGTAAAAATAGTTGCATAACAATGGAAACAATTATCAGACATTCGTTTTGTTTACAAAGGACATATAATGCTGAACGAGTCAGGTGGAACATGATCAGGAAATGTTGCAAACCAGATTCGAACCTTTGTTGCCTGCGTGAGCACCATAGCTCAACACATTGACATATGTACGAAAATTTTAAAGCCATGGCTAATGCAACACACATATCCCATTCATGAAACACAAGCAGAAATATGGCTGTGTAAATGCATAAAATCATTCATACGTCAACTGTCCAATTTTTAACACAAAAATAAATA